ATAATAATATAAATCGACAATTTTTTGTTGAATCTCCACAACAGCTTCACATCATGGATCCACAATGGTTGAATAATAATATAAATCCACTATCACTGGATAATAATATAAACACACCATTATTAGATAATAATCAAATATCATATCCATTATCTTATACGGATGCATCGATTTATAATATAGATTTGAATCAGTCGTACTCACAACATCATATAAATTCATCGATTAATATACATCCACAATCTTTGAATAATAACCAAACACCATATTTGCAACAACTTGAACCAATTTCTCAATTACCAAATTACCCAGATCTATATACATATCCTTCTAACGAACAACAGGTTTATACGACATCACAGCCCGAATTGAAATCAGATGCACCTAGTATTACAACAAATATACAACCGAATAAGGATAAGAAACCACGAAAGAAAGCACGAAAAACGAAATCTTACATAAAGTACACACATGCTTGTATTGCATGCAAGTTTTGTCGTAAAAATCGTCTAAGGTGTGGGGGAAAAAAAGAGGGCTCTAGTTCTTGCAATAGGTGTATTGAAGGGAATGTGCAATGTATTTTTGATAAAAACCCAGGAATACGAGGTCGCAAACCTGGTACCAAAAATAAACCTAAGGTAAAAAAAATCATATTTTTTTCAATATTCTTTCTTTGTTCAAATAATCATTTATTTTTCTTAATAAATAGGAAAACAAAACAGAAAACCGTGATAATAATTCTGCTGATAGTGTCGAAGTTACTAAACCATGTTGCCATGGTAACAATGGAGCAATATCTGATAATGTTGATTTAAAAGGTACTTCTAGCATTTTGAGTCCAAAAATAAGACAAACACAAGGTAATAGCAATGAAAATAAAAATAGTAGCAAATATTACTAATGGTAACATATACGTAGATATTTCCGTAAATTCAGTTAATGTTGTTGACACTTGTTAATCGTAAATAATTGATTGGTTTAGATTGTTAACTAATTAGTAAAAATGTCTTTTTATATCTTGCACAAAAACTAGTCTTGTCAGCAGTATGTACTCTTGAATTAAAAAAAAAATTATTATTATTTGTATATTTAATTTAAATTGTGCACAAAAAAAAACAAAAAAGCTAAACATATATTTTCGTTCTTTGCTCATTTGTGCACGTGTTTCACATATGTGTATGATAAAAACTTGAATTTGGTAAATTGCAATAAATTAATAATACCAAAGTGGTAGAATAAAGTGTTTATGTAATTAAAGCTAATCAAATTTGGTTGATCGTGGCTGCGTTTAATTTGATTTCTCGTGATGCTGATTGTAAGTTTGCTTTATTGTTGATTCAAGTTATAAACACTAGCGCCAATGGCAACAATAAATGTAATAATATATTATTTTATTGCCTGCAATTTTTTTATCATCATCAAAAATGTCGTCGATTCTATTCATGATCAGATTGGTAAAAATCACCACAAAACTAATGAAACAGTATCTGGCGAAGTGGTGTTTTGGTTAAATGAGAGAATTTGGTTATTTAGAATTTAATTTCATGATATAATTAAAGGTTTGCGTATATTCGTTCGTGGGATCTTTTTTCTGACGCCAAAATTAAAGTAGGTTTTTTGCTGCAAGTAGTCAATCATTAATTATGAATTAATTATATCCTCTCTCGTATTATCTATTAGTAGTTCGCCAAGCAATAAAACTCAACATACGGGTCGCATTTACTTCGTCGAAAGTTTACGTCGAAAGTTCATTTCGTCAAAAATTATTTCATCCTTGAGCCAGAGACCAAAAGAGTTAGATGTGGGGAGTATGGGAAGTTAGTTAAGAAATTAGGTGATGAAAGTGGAGTTTGTGGCAAGTGTGAGGAGGAATTTGTTTAATGAAGTTTTTTTTGTGACGAAATAATTTTCGACGAATGAACATTCGACGAAACAAACTTTCGACGAAATGAATAATAGAAAAATTAACTCTTTTAAATTCGAACTTGCATTCTGTTTAGGTTCGGTAGATACAAGTCTTGGAGCAACCACAACATCAAGAACTGTAGATTGTAAAAGAAGCAAGTTGCATTCACGTCCAGAGACAATATGATACTACCACTATATCAAGCACGAAATCAGTATCCTTTTATTACCAAAACTTCATCTAATGGTGTTAATTGCCTTCTTTAGTTTACGAAATAACCCATCGTTACCTTCCAAGAGGCTTTGTTACTTCTAGGAAACCATCCACAAACATTTTTTGCAATTACGTATATTGTGGTTACGCTAACTATGCTAATTTGAATAATTGTAGTGTATATACTCACGTGTGGACATGGTTATCACAATCTTTGTCTACAAAGGTGCCGATCTAAATGTTTGATATCTTGGACTATCTTCAAGTCGAAATCAAAATGCACTAAAAAAAGTATGACGAAAAGATTGAGTTTATCGAAAATAACGAAAATACTGGTAATTGTATATCTTAAATTTGTTGTGTTTACAATCATTTCATTGACATTCATTATATTAAGGTTATTTTGATTATATCGAGAGATATGGTCAAGAGAAGAGTTAGGAAGAGAGTTATTCTTCAACCAAGTCGAAAACCAACCCTTTAAATACATTTTCGAGTAGTACAATTTAATTTATTAGACTATTTCAAAGGTTTGTCGCATGGTTGCTTCCAACTTCTTAAATTCGAACCATTTGTTAACGAAACAACTGTTAGTGAAGTGATTGTTGACAACATGAATCAAACCAACATTTATTTTTACGTTATCAAATCAGTGCCTGTTTTTATTCCTCCACTCAAACAAATAATTGTTTACAACACAACGAACGCTATTTGGAATGTAATTGTTTTTTATGTGTCAATTCTTAGTAATAGTAAACGTTCTGGTCTTGGGGCACTTCTTGTTTTGTATATAAAATAGTATTAAATGATCTGCATAATAGTAAAATTTTATTTTGTTTGACGCGTCCAATTGCAAGTATAAGTAGAAATAAATGTAATTAATTATATTGTTATGAATATTTATAATATTTATACAGGTTAAAGTTTTCTTTTACATTTTATTCCTACATAAATAATAACAATTAAAATAATAGATAATATGAGCAAGCAACAATAATATACAAATTGTCAAAAAAGGAGAAGAGAAATGTAAAGATATATTTATTAAATAACATTAACTATAAATAAATTTTGAATATTATGCGCAATATGATCCAGGTTTTCTTTTAAATCTAAAATCACTCAATTCGATCAAGTACTAGTGGGTTACAAAAATATATGGTAAATGCGTTTTGAATTTTAAATCCTTATGGGGCATACTGCAACAAAACCAAGATAAAGGGAAAATCGTGTCACTTGCAAGAATTGCGGTTAAAGGATTTGCACAACATAGCAAGTTGTTATTTGGATTAGTAATTTCTTATAAATTGAATTTTAATATGTAAAAATTTAAAAAATCTTGAAAATACATTTAGACAAATAAAAGTTAGTAAAATTTTATAATTGAAAAGTAATCAAAAAAATCGACATGTCATGAAAACCATCAACAATTACTTTACTTAAGAAATAGATGAACAAACCAGAAAAGGAAAAAATTGAATGGATAAACATCTACCAAGTCAGGAAGTAGGCTAGATGTATTTAATGTTTACAACTGTATGATTATTTTTAGTGGATATATTATTTGATAAATTACTTGATGAAAAAATTCATCCAAGTTTTAGCTATTAATTGATTAATTGGTTAACTTTAATTTAATTTTAATCGTAGAATGAGAAAAAATCCAGATGAAGGTTTTTTGCGGTGATTTATTACTCATTTTTAATCATAAAAAACTGAATTAAACAATATTAAAATTAAAAGTTTTTATAATATTAATCTTTCGCGACAAGAGAATTTTGTAAAAGAATTTGTTAGAAATACTATCACATTATTTCTTGATATTATTTCGCACTTTTTAACTTTTCAAGAAACCTTGTCCTTTTTGTTTTTTGATCTTTTTAGGCTGGACTAGAGATGTGCTATACGCATTATGCGCATAATAGATTAGATAAGTTTATGTTACGTACCAAAAATTTTAAAAAATGAATTTTTTTAAATTTTTGTATTACATGATATAAATAATAAATGAAATAAAAATTTTAAATGCTGCCAGCTAATCCCATTTGGATTCATTTCAATAAACTTGGTCAAGTATCAGGCTTTCAGCAACCTCGCGCACAATGCAAATATTGTAATTATGAAATAAATGTTGCTGTTGGTAAATGTGTTGCGCATTTTAAAATATGTTCAAGAGTAAGTATAACAACTCTCCAAGGGTGGTAGTGAAAATGAAAAAGGAAATCAAGAACCTGATGATTTTTATGATACTGATGTAACTTATTAAGTTAGTAAAATAATAAATTTTTATAATAAAATTTTGTATTCTAATCACAACAATAAACACAATAAACATATGTTTTATTACATCTAAGCTAAAACCATGAAGATAATTTTATGGTGGATGTTTTTTTAAAAAATCATTAATAATTTACTATGCACATAATGCGCATTATGCGCACAATAAACTAAGGATTTCGCATTTTGTCCATCCCTAGGCTGGACTGGATTAGATGATTCGGTTTAACTGAATCATCCAGCAGTCTGTAAAGTATTCTATTGCAGGTGGCAGTGTTTTTTCACGATTCTTCTAATAGATCACTTTCCTCAACTGGATCACAATCCGAAGATTATTCTCTGTTATTTGCTGTTTAAGAAGCTTAAATAATTAATAAAGTTATAAAAAAAAAAAAATAAGATTGCAAATTCAAGAACATATTTTTTACCTTATAAGAATAAATTTTAGCTAATAGCTTCAAGTAATCATTGGTGACAAATAATGCACAGTATTGCTTTTTATATATTGCGATTAAACCATTTTCCCTCCATAACTTTGAAAACTGCACCATTAGGCCAAGGTGTAGTATTCCTATCACTTGCAACGAATTGCATTTTTCTTCTTCATAAATATTTCTCATTGATTTTGGCAATTTAAAAGTTTCTTTAAGATATCTATTATCATGTTCGTCCTTGAAAATACTTGCTGATTCAAAAACACCTAATTCAAGATTTTTTCCAATGTTGTAAATTATACCATCTATTTTACGTCCGACCCTTTTTCTAGCACCCTTCTCTTTACCACGTTTCTTCCGATTGCTACTAGCTGTTGATGGCGAATCCGTTCTTCAATAATTATATACACATCTGGTTATAAAAATTGCCAATAATTTGCATTTCTATAAATTTCTATTAAATATTAAATCTTCATGAATATCTTTCAATTTCTATATTAATATTAAAAAAAAATAATTATTAATAAAATTTCTTCACTTTTAAGTAAT